GGCACCACAAACTTTTTCGTTTAGCCCTGAAGTTTCAGTAGCAGCTGTTAGGCAGTTTAGAGTTTCTCTTTGATCCTCAGAATTTTTTTTTTTCCAGCCAAGTCCAATAGTGAGATAAAACAAACTAATTCTGTATTCTTATCTTGATTCTGTATTGATCAGGTAGTTTTTTAACATCTTACATATGGAGGATATACTTTCCTTTTGATTATTGAATATGCAACTGAAATATTTACAGAAACTGTAGCAAAAGTTGTGTTTTAGCAAAACAAACAAAAACCACCCCCTCCCCAAATCCAGAAGTTGGTGCTGTCCTGGTATGACAGACATAAAATTGACTGGGGGGGAGCAAGGTTCATATCCAGTATGCATCAGTGTCTGTTGAAAAAGAGCTTTTACTGTTCTCACAGACATAGAAAACTGTAATTTTCTGTAGAGTGTCTCACTGAGTTCTAGGCACTTGTCTGCAGCTACCAGTTTGTGTTTAATGAAGTGAAACTTTAAAGTAGACTAGCCAGCAGCTTAAAGGTAAGGTGCTATTTCAGAGCTTCAGACTTAAGTATGAAGAAAACAACTGTAGAAGGTGTTTGAAGACTGATGTGATTTCCAGAACTCAGTTCCCTGCCACATTATATGTCTCTCATGCAACATTTTAGAGTTCAGTTCCCTGCTACAGAATATATATACTGAACGTTGACAGTACCCAATGTGGCTGGAAAATGCCTCAAATAAGCACTGGGAATAACATGGGCTTCCCGAAGCGGAAAATTTTGTTCAAGATTGTAATTGTAAACTTCATCTGAAATGATGCGTATGTCTTCAGTTCTAAGAAAGAGCAAATTTTTTCTCATTGCTTAGGTATATGTACTATATGTATATGTGTATATAAATAAATACACACAGTATCATATAAATAAATATAAATTAAATCTTTTATTAAAATGTCTGTCTTTTCTTTCTATAATAGATTGAACAAATGAGAACAGAGCTACTTCAGGAAAGAGCGATAAAGCAAGATTTGGAATGTGACAAAATTTCATTGGAAAGACAGGTAATTATGGCTGGCATATCATTACACTAGCAAGGTAACAGGCTGGGTATCTGCCTTCATTAGGAACTTCAAATAAGCATTTAAGGAATACAGTATTTGGTAGCTGGCATTATCCCACCATAGTGTGCTGCTGGAAGTATGTGTTAGTAAGAATAGATTAAAAACCATGAGTATCTTAATACTGATACTCAAAAGAAAATATTATAATCTTGAATTAAGTCTTCTCTTAGTATCTGTACCCCCCGTTTGAACTTGAGGTTTGTAACAGTTTATATATTTCATATAATAAACACTCATATTATGCATACACCTGTTTATATATTATAAGTCATTTTTGTTGTAGTGAGTACAGGCATCTCTCTACCACACAAATTCTGTCTATACATTTGAGGATCAAAGACATCAAAAATAAGAAATGTGACAGTTGATATGGTACACTTGTTTTAGAATATAACTGAGATATCAATATAGAAACTTTTAAAAAGCATACATACAGAAAAGACTATAGAACATCAAAGACACTGTTGTCCAGTTTAGCTGTAAATTCTTTGACAGCTTTTGGAGGAGCTGTTCTTCAAAGTCTTAACAGTACTTCAGCAACACTGTTGAAGGTAGATCATAATTTCAAGCAATTGTGATTTTAGTTGAGTATTTTCTTCTGTAGGAGCAAACAAGTGAAAAAATGACATGCCTCTGAAAGAAAAGATACAGATTTGATAGAGAACTGCTACTCTCTTGTCTAGGAAGGAATATGACTCATATGTTTCAATATCTGTGATGGAAAGTACATTAAAAATACTTTCTAGCTTTCTGCAACACTTTATTCTGCAGCTCAGTGGTCTTTGAAAGCAAGATTACTATCATAGCCCCTAGCTGAGATCCAGAGGAAAGCTATCTTAGCAAGTCATAGTATTATTGATAGTCTCAAGAACATAAAACAGATTGTAAGGGGAATTTAGAGAACATGTTTATACCAGACACCTAATTTGGTGCCTTAAATTATGTGAAATTAATCCCATCTTAATTGTTGGAGAAAAAAGAATGCCACTATCGTGGTTTAACCCCAGCCGGCAACTAAGCATCACACAGCTGCTTACTCACTTCCCACCCCCTCCTCCCCTCAAACCACGGTGGGATGGGGGAGAGAATCAGAAGAGTAAAAGTGAGAAAACTCATGGGTTGAGATAAGAACAGTTTAATAATTGAAACAAAGTAAAGTAAAATAGTAGTAATAATAATAATAAAAGAATATACAAAGCACATGATGCACGATGCAATTGCTAACCACCCACCGACCGATGCCCAGCCAGTCCCCAAGCAGCAGCCCTCCGGCCAGCTTTTCCCTAGTTTATATACCGAGCATGATGTCACATGGTATGGAATATCTCTTTGGCCAGTTGGGGTCAGCTGTCCTGGCTGTGCCCCCTCTCAGCTTCTTGTGCACGTCCAGCCTTCTCAGTCAGTAGAGCATGAGAAGCTGAAAAGTCCTTGACTTAGTGTAAGCACTGCTCACCAGTAACTAAAACATCAGTGTGTTATCAACATTATTCTCATACTAAATCCAAAACACAGCACTATACCAGCTACTAGGAAGAAAATTAACTCTATCCCAGCTGAAACCAGGACAGCCACCTACAGGTATATCCCATGTACATCCTTATACTTTAGTTCTGACTTTTCTATCGCTTTTTTAGTGTTTGAGATCTGAGATCATGGTTTGAAGTTCTGTAACAAAGAGCTTTATTGTCTGTTCCTCATGTAATTCTTTTTTTTTCTGGCAACTTTATCATTAGGTCCCCATTGAGAACCTAAATTACCTAGCCTCATAAAAATTAAAGTGTAAATCTGAACAAAAAGTCTGCTTTTACAAATCATGCAGCTTGCAAAGTTTTTCAAACTATTTATGCAGTAGGAGTAGCATTGGATAGTTAAGAAAGGAGAGGAAAACCCCACAGTAACAGCTTTGAGAGGTTAAAGCGATATTGGATGCAAGTAATTTCTCTGTCTATTTGTTTTAGCTGTACACCAGTGAGTTACAGGGGAGGAATACAGAATTGGACAAAAGAATTGTATGGAGAGTAAGACAGATCCAATGCTATTTGAAAAATTTTGGCATATTAAAAAATGCTGTTGGAAGGGCCTTGCAATCATCTGAAGTTCAAGGGACCATTTAACCCTAAAACTTTAACTCAAGCTTAACACTAAATTATTTTTAATAAAGCACAGTAATAAATCTTCGTTTGTTTGTAGTAAACAGTAAAATCTCACTGACTCTCTTTTTCCATATTTACTAAATTAAAAATATACTGGTCACGTTATGTTTGCCTGGAGAAATTTATTTTGTGTTAAGGTGATATTTGTTAATATGAGCATGTATGTAGTAACCAAGTATGTTCCAACTATAGAACAAAGACTTGAAGAGCCGAATCGTTCACCTGGAGGGTTCTTACCGATCCAGTAAAGAGGGACTTGTTGCTCAAATGGAAGCAAGGATCACAGAGCTAGAAGAGCGACTTGAAAATGAAGAGAGGTGAAACTAATTATGTTAAGATCAAAACATGCATGTTTATGTTTGTTAATATGGCCTCTTGCTACTGTTAAGTCTCTAATACAATTAACTTGATTTTTTTTTCTCACAAGCACCAAATTAAAATGGTTACTGTTTCGTACAAGTATTGCAAATTTTCTTTTTGACTGAAAGCACACTAGAAGTTGCCTTATGAATTTAAAACTGGGCAGTGCTAACATTGTTCCATACCTCATTGTTTTATCAATGTCTAATATCAGTAACAGGCTTAGAAATACTAACTATAGTTAACACTTCCATTTTCATGTTCACTTCATTATTTAATCTTGGAGGAATGATTTTTTTTTTTTCCCCCCCCTAAATGTTGCTCTGGAGACAGAAGAAATTCCCCTTAGTGGTTCATGCTTTTGAACAAATTTCTTAATATGTTGTATGGAATCAGTAAATCAAAGCAGGAGCCATTAGTATTTATCTAATTCTTAGAAGATTGCTAAGGAATTATGTCAGCAGGATTGGAAGTATTTCAGTTTCTTTTTTTTACAAGCCTGTCTTTTGTTTGTTTTGTTTTTTCTAGGGATAGAGCTAATTTCCAACTAAGTAACCGCAGACTTGAGAGAAAAGTGAAGGAGTTAATGTTGCAAGTAGATGATGAACATCTCTCATTGACTGATCAAAAGGACCAGGTAGAGGGAAAGACTAATATGCAAATATCTGATATTAATCCTACTAGCATAAATGATCATACATAAAAGATACGAGAAGAATATAGTTAGATACTGATTACTCTGTTGTTTATGAACTCCCATTTAGTGAGATTCGCAGTTCCCATTGTTATCACGTTCTTTTGCCTAGTACTAAATTGTTACTCATTTCTAAAATTGTGAAAAGGAAGCAGTTACAGAAGCAATGCTATAATTATTTTAAGAAATAAAGCCAATAACAGACAGTATATGATCCTATCAATATATACACCAACACATGATCCTATAAATACATACACCAACAAATAATATATTCTATTTTGCCACCATAAAATTTTGTTTAAAGAAAGAAGCTATGTATTGTTAAATATAGGCTGTAAGTATTAAGCATACATTGATATTCTAATAGCAATGTGCTCTACCATTCCTGTGCTCTTTGTTGATTCCGTGCTTAAAACATGGTTTGTTTCAGTACATGAGTCAAATAGTTAATAGTCTGTCTAGAGAATGAACAGTGTGTTTCAAACTGCAGACAGCTGTTAAGGGAACAATCTTTTAAAATCCTCTGGGTTTTTAAAACATATTTTATAGTATCTGTCTGGTAAAGTTGCTTAGGTTAGATACACTAATAGCTCCAGTCTTCCCTTATTGATAACCGGGTCTTGCTATCACATAATACTGTCTTACTCTACCAAAGCTATGTTTGCTTGTTGCTGGTTTTAATTCTTAAAAAATTGTATCCCATCACTTTTCTCAAAGTCTCATGCTGACTTTCGAATATTTCTGAAGCATAGGATTACAGTGTCACTACACTGGCAAAGTTGTGTCTTTATTCTCCCTCTCATAGATGCTGGAAGAATAAAATTCCTTTATTAAAATAATCCTCTAATCAGCTGACATGTAAATATTTCAGTTGAGTTTGCGTTTGAAAGCAATGAAACGTCAAGTTGAAGAAGCTGAAGAAGAAATAGACAGACTGGAAAGTGCTAAAAAGAAACTCCAGAGAGAACTGGAAGAGCAACTAGATATGAATGAACAATTGCAAGGACAGCTTAACGCTGCAAAGAAGGAATTAAGGTAGGATGATTTCTCAGACCTTACAATTATGTATCACACCACCACTCATAAGACTGATCTCTTGCTCCTTTAGTCCATAAACTGAGGGCTTCCTCTAACAAACTTCAGGTTTGTCATAAGCAGACAGAGTTTAAGAGACAGACCTCTTCTGCATTTGCTTTCTCTACAAATGTTCTTCAACTCTTTCCAGGGTGCTCTAGGTGCCCAAACCTTCTTTCCAAGATCTGCCTGCTGAATAAAGTTATTGGCGTGGGGAATAAAAAATGGAAAAAGGTGATGGGACTCGACACTCTTATCAGTTGTAGTAATAAAAATTTCCTGCTAATGACTGAGAGGTACAGCTATCCTGTGTTAGCTTTCCTCAGCCATCTTTGAACATCTCAGTGCAAAGTTTATAGTTTCCCCTCTCTGTGACTTTAGTTAGAGATGCTTGAAAACATGATTGATTGATCTTCATTCTCTTGCATGTTTCTTTCACATAAGATGTAGTCAATGATACACTACCTCTATTGGAGCACAAGTTTCTCTGACATCCTTTAAAAATGTAAATCCTACCTGTCAATGTTTTAAACTTTGCATCAGCGTTCTGCATGTAGATGTGCGGTTTTAATAGCAAAGACATGTGTATTTTTGTTTTAGTAGACTGAAGAAGTCGCCAAGTAAAGTGTTGGCTGATTCTGATGATGATGACGATGATGATTTCAGCACGGATGGTGATAGTCTCTGTGAAGTGCCTTCAGGAAATAACTTTTCAAAAGATGATGACACAAAAATCTAAATAAGTATTGAATCTGTGATTCCTTAAAAGTACTGGAAGAATAACATAAATTATCAAGAAACTGGGTATTCTAGAAGCCAAATGACATAAAGGGATTTAAGAGTTGGGAATATAACGTTTCCATCCATACTGTGCCATTTTCTTATTTAGATCTCCACTGTTTATTATAGAAAACAGGATTGCATTATAAAACAGATATAAAACACTGAGAGAGAGAGAGATATAACTGCTACTGAAAACATGGGGATAATGTTTCACATCGGAAATGTGATTTTGCTAAAATTCTGTTTAAGTAAAAAGCCATGTGAAAGTAATTAAAAATTAGTTTGTAGTTATTAAAAGCTTTTCCCTAAAATTAAGGAAACCACGGAAGATTATTTAATAATTGTAAGTAGGGAGAAATGATGTATAAAATGTAAATATTTTAAACCTGATCTTTTTATTGACTACTTTAGTACTATTTTATGAAGTTTCAAATATTGTATAAATCAGTTTCATATGTAAAGTACTTAAATTTATACTGAATGCTATATTTGGGTTTTAACTAAGAAGAAAACAAATGAAAATGAATACATTTTGTGCATTACAGAGCAGATTCACAGTTCCTGAGCCAGGAAGTACATTCCCATTTTAAAACCAGAGCAAGTTTTATTGTATGTATTCTGTATATTAGAGATCAAATGTTAATCCTGCCTGTTGACTTTAAAAGGACCATCACATCTGCATGATGAGTGAGGCTTGCCTGTAGCTTTCTTGTAAACTTCATTTGGGAAGCTTTCTGTTCTTAGTAGGGAAGGGTGAGAATGAGGTCAGTTATTATTTGGCATCTTTCATTTCCTGAAATGGGCTCCATACTGCCAGAGGCAGAACATTATAGGCCTGCTGATCTGCGGGCATCAGGACAGGCTTATCTTATAGTCTCTAAGGAGTCCCACTCATTCCAGTAAAATTACTTGTGGTCTTTGAATTAAGTACATGCTTAAATCTGTTTGTTAATTGATCCCAAAATTTTATGCACCTGGCAAGAAATTGCACGAAGGAAACACAAAGCATGTAATCTGATTTTTCTTTCTAAGCTGTTCTTGAGCATCTATTTGTGATATATTGCAGTCTATGAACATATATGCAGATATATGTTAGTGTTTCAGTTTACAGATAACCCAAAATGCAGATACTTCTATCTGTTCAAAAAACTTTGTGGGAAACTTAAAAAAAAAAAAAGCATTGCAGATTTTATTTTAGAAGCATTTTCCATTTTATCGCTAAAAATATTTTTTGCCATTTATATTACACCAGACCGTTTTTGCTCCTTTGCAAACCTAGCATTCTAAGGAAAGGGCACTACTATGTAATTTTGTTAATAAACCATAGCTAAGTCCTATCTGATTATTAGTATTTGTCCCCAGTTACAGGTTAGTGAGCACTTCTTCGTTGAATGGACCAAATAATAGTGTAATGTAACTGTAAAAAATACTTTAAACTGAAGTTGCTGGGAGCTTTCATTACTCCCACAAAGGCATCTACTGAAGAGGACAAATTTAACAGCTCTGAAAGTGAGGCTGATAGAGTTGGTTAAGGCAAGAGTCCTGATAATGGCAGTATCCATTTTCATATGATTGTATGAAATGAAACTCCTGCCTGCAGGATCAGAAAGGTATTTATGCATAACAGATTACAGACTCTTTTGCCATGTAATTCCCTTCAACTTGATTATGATGGTTTGAGATATATGGGAAATAATGAGTGGCATAGTTGTAATACTCTGTCTCTGAATCTTGCATATCTTTTCAAGTAGCATGCATCATACAATTTTTTTGCAGTACTAGCTTTACTATTTTGACAACATAGAAACAGCCTTTCCTCCAGGATCTGCACTATACTGTACTGACAATCATCATATAACCTGCTGTGATTTATTTTTTTGTCGTTTCATTTGCATGTTTATGTAGGCTTAACTTTAAAGAACTGATTCCAATCTCCAGTACTCTGTCCTAATGTTCATAGATGACTATTATTTCAAACCACTGGAAGAAAATCACTTAATGTTGCATCTACCTCGAGTTATGCTAAACTGTACAAGAAAAATTCACTTAAAATAAACAGTCAGTCAGCTCTTTGAGTTCTACTTTGTATGTGCACATAGCTTGGTATGATAATTGAATTTCGTATGGAAGACGCATGTGTTTAAAATATAACAAAAAAAAAATTAGCTGGGAAATACTGATGCTGTAAACAAGTTTCTGCATTTTCTTCTTTTTGGATAGCTACTTTCTTTGTAACTTGTAAAGCAGATGGCAGGTGTAATAACTAGAAGACTCCTTTTCTCATTTGAACTTAACATAAGTTAGAAGGAGGGAGACGCATTTTTGTGGACTCCTAGTGGGAGAGATCCTGCTTATTAGACCTCCCTCCCCCCTGTGTCTTCGTAAAAAGAACTGGTCTTTAGTTTGTTCATTTAGACTTGGAAATGGCATTTCCTCTTTAGAGTTCTTAAATGGTATGACTAAAATCAAAGAAAATCTTAAGATGTTGAACAGGGTATTTCAATTCATTCACAAAACAGTCGGTAGCTCTGTTTCTCGATACTTGCTAGCTATGGTGAGGGTAGGGTCTAGATCTTGATTGCCACAAAAAAACATTGATAATAGTTTAAGGATGTCTGATTTGTTCACTCCATCTCATGGCAGTTTTTGACGAAAACTCATCTTAAGTCAAGGTTTAGTTTAGAAAAATTTTCCCCATATTTCCATGTAATCTATTTTTAAATGAATTTCAGAAGAAGCTCTTGACCCATAAAAGGAAGCAAGAGGGAGAATATGTGAAGAAACATGGTTGTGAGACGTTCAGTCCCTAGAAGTTTGTACAAACATCAGAGTTTCTGGTGTATTACGGAGACATGGCTTGACTTCTGAGCTGTAGAGACCTTCAGTTTTCTTTGATGATATCATAATATCTCATAAACAAACAGACCCAAGCTAAATCACTTTTTATATAAGCCTAACCTGATGACTTACATAGTGGATGCTTCTCTCTCAGTATAAGTCATCTATGATGAGCAATGAACTTTTTGTCCTCTCTGGAATTAATGGCCTTTCATATCGCACTGAGATTTTGACCATTTTTATGTGGTGAGAGATCTTCTATAAAAACAATATTTCTTCCCATTAAAATTCTGTTCTGCCTAAATATACATGTTATTCAAACAGCTGTGTAAGATTAATATTGCCCTATTCAATTCCTGACAACTTGTGCCTTAAGAGGACTTACATGGTCATTTATAATTCCTGGGTTTGAGAATCAAATCTAAGTTGTATTTTGGGCATTTTCACTAATCTGTTACACTCTGGGAGATCCTATTGGTTTTCTGAGCCTACTTTTGTAGATAGGAGAATACAAGTTAACTTCTACAAGAGTGTTCTGATGTTTTAAATCACTAACAGTTGGCAAGTGCTCCAAGATCTTTCAATGGCAATTGCTATACAGTGCAAGATATGTAAATGTACAACAAGCAAGCGAACAAAATCCTCCTGTTCTCCATAGGCTCCTCACTCACTGTCCAAGTAATAAAATTAAGGATATTTGTCACATATAATGGACTTTAATGCCCTTGAGTTTGGAAGGCATCTCTTTTCATAAAAGCTTTAAGGTCTTTCAGACATCCTATCTCTTTTTAGTGCATGGAGAAAGAATAAGGAAAAGTTGTCATCTTCTTGCTATCCCCTGTACCTGCTTCCCTGCACTGCACTTTATTTAAGGAAAACCCTATACTATGCAAATACTTTCTTAGTTCAGCATTGTCAGTTGCTTTTTATTGTTCAATCACCAGGCAGGTTTCCCCCCCACAATGTAGTCTCTTGGTGATGAGACTATAACTTGTTGATTAACCTGTGTATTCCTCTGATTTATCCTCATTTTTCTCAACTTAATTCTTTCCTTTTTCCTGATTAAATAATCTGTTCTGATTTATAGCTGATTTTTCTAAACTATTCCAGAAGCCATGTGCATTCCTCATTTTTCACAGACCAGCTGTGTGCTTTGCTGAGTGAGCTACACAGTGCAATAGCTTCAGCTTTTAGGCCTTTTCTGGATCACGCAGCATATTTCAGTAATTGAATGTTGATGCTTTTAGCTTACTGGAGCTTCCTATCCTATGAGTAGAGCTACACATTTCAGCTGCTTAATTTCTACCAACTGCAGTTATCAAGTAACATTACAAAATGTTCAGAGACTTTGCTGAAAGAGCAACATTCTTTAGAGATTGTCAGGGTTTATAACACATTTAATTTGTTCTTTTTTGCATAAGGTGCTGATTAGATGACATTTAACCCTCTGAGCCTACTATGTTATAGTGGGGAAAATTTCATTGTAATTTCAGAATTTATTTGTGAGCACTGGGCTATTGAGAAAAAGGTATAAAAATGAATACAAAGGGGTTTTTGTATTACAGGTTTTTGTCTTGATCTGTAAGAAAGGAGAGACTTAATAAGAAGAGGAGTAAAGTTCAACAGACAAGGTCAAGTGCAGTAGAGAATTGGGCTCATCTACCTCAGTAGAAGTGTGACAGCCCTTTAATGGTTAGTACCAGTGAACCTCATGTGAGGTCAGCAGAGACTGTATGTTTTATGTGAGAGGGAACATTTGATCTTCTCCACTTCTAATAACAATTTGCTGTCTTATTCAGATCCTGAAGCTTCATGCCATTAACAGAAGAACAGGCAATAAAAAAATTTTACTTAAATTCTGAGCACAGGTGGATGATGAAGGTTTAAGCTCTTCAAGTTGCCAGTAGGAAAACTGTAGGAACACTTCTATGTGAGTGCAGAGAAGGGACTCATTACAGGTAACTTGAGTTTTTCTATGCTTTCTGTGTACTTCTGCTTCTTCAGCAGAATAGGCTTACTGAACAACGCTTTATATATTAGGTTACAAAGCTATTTTCACTAGTTTCAAGCAGTCCTTTTACTTTGGTTGCATGTAGTCTGGCTAGGATGAAACCTACCAAGGGCATAATGTGAAGTAAGGGACAAAATATAGACAGTAAGAAAGATCAACGCAGGATCCAGTTCTGATTAATTTGATTTTGACCTTCCCTTCACTCCTCTTAAAGAGCCTGGCACTGAATGTTGCTTAAACCATCTTAAACCTACAGATACCTAACTTGGGCTGGGATGGATGTCAGATTTTATTTCCAGGGAAAGACTGTAAAGGTTCAAGATCAGGATGGTAGGGAGCACATTGAAGTAGTGCACATTGAAGTAGTGCTAGGAAATGCCTATTTCCTGTATGCATTTGCAGCAAAGATTCTCAAGAGAGTTCAGCTGAGGCAAATGATGGTGCTGAAAAAGGAGCAGCATATGTTTCTGATATTTCTGTGGATGCACTGTTAACGGAGACTGATTTAGCTGCATATCTCTGTGCAGCATGCGTAGTTCTGTTTTGCAGAAATGCTTTCAGCATCTTCAAACCTTGGATACCCAAGTGCCTGCCAGTATCAGAAGCATCTATTTTGTGTGACTCACTTTTTATCTTACCCTTTTTCCTGAAAGAAATTGTGTGTGTAGTTCTGTGTTTTCCCTTGGATTTGGCTTTTTGTCAAAGATGTGTTTACTTCTGTGTTTCTTTGTGAGAGAGAAAGAAAACATTGCTGCCCTTAGAGTGGAAAGAGAGATGAGACTGTTTGGGACTTGTCCCTGGGAAAACTCAGTCTGTGCCAGAAATGAAATTTACTTTTCTAGAAAGCAGTTCCACTGTGCACAGGAGAGTTGAGCTGTTGACTAAAAGTTCACCTCTCACACCCACAGAGCTGGCTATTCTCTGCCCAGCCTGGCCTTTCTTTTCCTGGGAGATAAGGACTGAGACCTGGAACTTGACTTGGCCAAGGCTGCCAGCATGTGATTTCTGTACTACAGATGAGATTGAGATTGGTATACTTTAATTTTGTTCTTCAAATCTTTTGGTTAAAGTACAGCAAATACGATCTAAGGAAAAAGGACTCATTGGGTATTTGTGATAGAGCATGCAAGAGCAAATACATGTGCGCGTGCACACACACACAGAGTGAAGACAGAGAGATGCGTGTGCATCGCTGCAAGTGCTGTATGAGCTGATTTGGTCCCTGCCTGAAAACATTATCCCGACTGTTTAAAATTGATACACAAATTCAGTGGCTACAGTCACACTGTGGTTACTGTAAATCCTTCCCAACGCAGACCACCT